ATCTTTGGTCTAGATGAATACCTAAATATTTCACTGAACTTTCTCTAGGAATAGTTACGTTATTGAGAGTAATGGAGTGGCTCTTATTGGGACGAAGTGTAAATGTGATGTGTGATGATTTGTTTTCGTTTATTTTAATTCTCCATAGATTAAACCAATTTTAAAAGTCATTTAGATGGGATTGGAGGTTCTCCGTTGCAGTGTATATATCTGGGTTAAAAGACTCTAATACATGTGTCATCGGCAAAAGTAACTAGACTCGTAAGGTTCGAGTGAAGAATATCAGATGTGTAAATATTATAAAGCATGGGAGCAAGCATACTTCCATGGGGTACACCGGCTTTTGCAATATGAATTTCGGAGGGTTCGTCTTCACAGCGAACTTGGTAGGTACGATTAGAGAGATATGAGTTAAGAGTAAGGTAGAGAGGAGTAGGAAGAAATCGGGTTTTGAGTGCAGAGATTATACATATTTTATACATGAGTATAAATATCTTAATAAAAAATGTAATATTCATTTTTATCCGAAAAACTATATTTATACTATTTACTACAATATTTTTTAGGAAATTTGATTTTTAAATTTTTTCTTTTTAATACAACGGTAGCAATAAATACGCCGTAGTATACTTCAGCAGTAAGCAGCAGTATTAATTCAATTTTGAAAGCAATGTATTCGATACACGCGTAAGCCTAATGCCAGGGGGTGGATTGGTATTAGGGTGACACGTCCGCCCCTTGGACTACGAAAAGCCTAATCAAAAGTTGAGATTAATACAATACAAACATACGCATGGAATAACGGATTCAACCAAGTTTATTACGCATAGCACCACATAATAGATAATAATAATTTTGACGCATGCCCGTTCAAGTAAAACTGAAAATTAAAAACAGTGATAAAAATAGAGAAACTCGAATTTAGGCGATTTAGACTCGTCCATACGTACCCAACACCATCAACACAATGAAATTACCGGACCGCTTCACCCTCACCCACTACATCGAAGACGAACAAGCCAACGGCACACACGTTTTTTTTTTATTTTTAATTGTTATTATTTTATCGTCGTCCTTTTTCGATGGTGGCTGCGGCAGCACGAGGGAAGAATTTACGACTTCAGGTACCATCTGCCCGACCGGGGAGGACGAGCACGGGCCAGCCCGAGTCACCGGGTAAATAATGCGGTGGTTGTGGCGCGAGCGAGTGTGTTGTTTGTGTGCGTCGAGCAACAATACGTATAATAATGGTAACCGTCGGGCGACGCGGAAGTGTGCCCTTTTAACAAAGTAAGTAGTGAGTAGTAGCCCTCGTGCGCCCAACCCGTTACAATATCGAATTCGGACCCGTCCGCACGGGTTAGGGGAGACCTCATAATACATATATGTACACAACGAAAACGATGAGAGCACGTCCCTTCCGGGTAATTCGTATTACCTCTTTCCTTTATCCTCAATCCTTTTTTAGCACGCGCGCTCGCGGCACCACAGTGTAGCATACAAATAGCACGGGCTAACGGACTCTCATCATAGTTTTTTCATTTTTAAATTTCTTTTCTCTCAGACTCTACACATGTAATTAGAACGCTCATTATGTATAAATGCGTATATTATGAGGAATAGGTTCACGGGTTGTTTTAATGATTGAGGGATACACTAGGAACTATATTATTCATAAACCAATATTATAATGCACAGAGAGGAGAGAGAGATGGTACGTAATACTCTCAAGCCGTCGTCGATCGCGCGCGCGTGGGAGACGTGTGAAGAATATTGTTTATCAATTTAAAATAAAAATAAAGTAACTATAAAAACGATCAAATAACAAAAGTTGCACAACTTATTATACTGCGACTGACTGCACACGGGCGCGTTTTTTTGGAAACATTAATTTATCCAGAATGACTATTATTGTTATGGCACTGCTGGGAATCCCGTTAACGAAAATATATTAGCAAAACATTTTATGATATTACATTTTTTCTATGGTCCATATACTGAAAGCTATTAACATGTCAGGTACAGCCGACCGTTTTTATTGTATTTGAAAATGTATTCTAGTAAGTTGAATTAACGTTTTATGGATTAAAGATCCATGTAAGATGATTGGGATGCATTTTTGAAATTTACACAATATGCACACGAGATTAAAAATTGCATAAAGTTATTTAAACAGGTGAACCATAAAGTAATAACTCGTATACGAAATGCAAAATTATATAGCTTGAAAGATACAAATAAAAACAATATAATTAATGAGATTTTAAAATGGCTGAAGTTCAAAATTAATATAATAATTAGAATAAAGAAACATTTTATTACTTACTAATGGGTAAAACGTATACGCATTATACAATTTTTACAATTACACAAATTACTCTGCTTTTAAATTATTGTTGTTGATTATATCCCTGTTGATTACAACCCTGGATATGCCTTTAAAACCTAACATGAATAATATAAAAATAGATAGTAGGTTTGTATATTTACAAATAATTTAGACCCAAACAGTGTAAAAAAAATTTGAACTAGAATGAACTTTGAGGTATATTTTTAAGTTTTTTTTTTTTTTATTTCGAAGAAATATATACAATCTATTATTTAAAACAATAAGTAAATTTGATAAAATAATATATAACAATAACATGATTAATGTGAGAAGGAAATTGTTCATTAACAACACCTCAGAATACTTTTTTTTTTATTGCATATTAATTTTTATATAATTAATAAAGTAAATCTCTTAACCAATTCCTTTTTAGCCGACGTTTAACATGACCAGGGATATGGATGACATATTTCGGATAAGACAATTTGGGTGACTTATTAATTTGGTGTGGAAACGTTTGTAATGTATTTTTGCAAGTTCTTTGACGGTGGGTATTTTTAGATCTTTGTGAAGAGTGTTTTTAACTTAAATAATAAAAAGCATTTTGAAATTATATTATTAATTCATTATTATTTTATTAGTTTACCGAAATTCCATCAAAAATAAGTAGAACAGTCAAAAAATAATACTAATAAATAAGTATTTTATATAGTTATAATTCAAGATAAGTTAAATATTATAAAGATTATAAACAAAAATAAAATAACACAATTTAATACATTAGTAGAATTAACTTTTGATTTTTTTTTCTTTCATATATTAAAGCTCTGTCCTGAAGTATAGTAGAAAGTTATTTATGATTTACGAACCATAATAATGATATTTATGTAAACCATTTAAAATAATTAAATTGTTTCTCGTGCTCGTCGAAACACATACCGTTTTAAAACGGAAGAAATAATTTAACCATTTAAGATTTAAACACTATTTAATAATTATTAAAGAATCTGTGATATATTCTTTAAATTTTCTGTTAACAATTAGTTATCTTGCATTGGAAATATTTTCGAAATTATCATACTGCGAAACGATAATACATACAAAATGGTACGAAAGCGATATCACTACACTACATATTATTTCAGCCTAATATTATTAATCTAATAACTACAAATTAGTCGGTTTATGCTTTTAATTGCCCGTATCTAAATTCCAATGATAAACCAATAAATACCTATTATCCAATTGTGAGATTTTAAAAATAATATTCCAATGAATCGAAGCCAATCTGAAAACATTATATTTCACTGCTACAAACACACCTATCGCAATTGAACGGTTTGTTTTTGTACACGTGCTGCTCATAAAATAATACCAGAACTATCAGATCTGGTTAATATTTGTATTATTCTAATTTTGAAGGTACCGGGAAACGTAGACAGGTTTATGGTTTATATATAAAAATATATAGAATTTCTACGAATTTAATATGTCCATCAACATTTTGCCAAATGCATTGTTCAAGAGAACAAAACTAGTTTGCCGCATACTTTATCGTAAGATAATTTATTTAAAATATTGTGATTATGATAAATTCCCATTCATTAGAACGTCTAAAAGTAATTTAACATCTATGGTAGTCAATGACAAACTGAACCGTTTAATACATGATGTAGAGGTATAAAAATATAATAGTAAATGTTTTCCTTAATAAAATCTACAGAAAGGATTGATGGAAAAAAATACCAAGTAGAGCCAATACCATCCTCAGCAAAATGAAAAATGTTGAAACCAGTTGTCAACATTTCCGGTTGATAATTGTTTAACATGGGGTACACGTAGAAGGAATAATACGGTGGTTTTTGATAATTATAAGGACATACACACGAAGACAATTTATTGAAACATTTTTTGTAGCCTTGCAGCGATTATAATGCCATGTCCGTCGCATATCATTAAACTATGTCGGTTTATATATAAAATATTAAACCCATGACACAGGTTGTAAACGACCTACAAATTCGGCAAAATAATATTCTATAACCGGAAATAACACCGCGAAATAACACCTCTAGAGAATCACGTTCCATCAATGTGCATAGATAACGATGACTAATTGAGATGTCATTACGCTCATCGACAACGTAGATTATTCTAATTACGTTAAATTTTCACAGATAGAAATATTGTACACGGATTAATGATAAATGAATGACGACCAGGCTACTCTGGAGGGGCTGCACAAGGAGGCAGTAACCAAAAGAATTAAGAATAGGCAAATACCAAACCGAGCCATAACCCAAATTACCCTAATTGTATTAATGATTAAAAAAAATACACTTATATTTCAATATACCATCGGGAAAATCTATCTATTTATATTCATTACAACATGAAAATCAAATAAATACGAACAATTACACGTCCTAATTTGTGAAGTTCAATATAAAAATATGAAAGATTTAATACTCATATACGGACCGATATATTTATCGAAAACCTATTGTATCAATTTAAAAGATACGCTATATCGTAAAAATCGTAATAAATTTTATGATTCGTACTAACATCAAATTTTAGAAATTTTTGGAAAATTATAAACATTTGTAGTAAAGTCGTCACAGTGGATGACCAGAAAATATTATTAAATGTGTAAATCAAAAACACTCACCGGTTTCACTGGGCGTGGGCAGCTGAGGTGGTGACGAATCTGCACCGTGACTTCTTCTACCACCTACACTGTCATCATCGTCCTCGTCGTCATCTTCGTCGTCAGACGACGATCCGACGGCCGCGTGGACGGCATGTGGCCCGGCCGTCAAGGGCGGCGGCGGCGTCGACGAGACCGTCTTGGTGGAGGATTGCTGGTGGCCGCCAGCGGCTCGGTGGTGATTGTGGTGATGATGGTGCGAGAAATATGGATGTGCGCGGCCGCCGTTGTTATATTTCGGTACGGATAGCGAGCTGAGATCGAGCGGCTGTTGGTCGGCGGCTGCAGCTGCGGCTGCGGCTGCGGTGATATCACACGATGATGGCCGTCGCCCGACCAGCAGGCCGCCGATGCGGTGGTGCTGTTGAAGGATCATCGCGGCTGCCGCGGCCGCTGCTGCTGTCGCCTTGTCGGAAGGCGGCGAGTCGTTATTATTATTATTGTTGTTGTTCTTGCTGTTATGGTTGTTGTTGTTGTTGTTGTTCAAGTTGTGGAACTTGTGCAGATTCCGGTAGAACTCGAACCCGGCCGGATGGAATTTATTCTGCTGGTCGGCGATCTTGGACTCTTCCTTAATCCGGCGGTACTGGGCGCCCGTGGCCGCGGCCAACCTGAGCCCCTCTCCGCCGGCGGCCACAGCGGGTAAGCCCTCCAGCGTAGATGCGGACGGATGGACAACGAGGGCGGAAAGATTAGCTGGCGCGTAAACTCGCAATCGCGCGGACTTATCGCGGCGCGCGTAATGTCGCACGCGCACACTGTGGTCGGTAACAACGACAACGGTTCGAACGGGGCGCGACGGAACACGGACGACGATTGATACCCAACGCGATTTCGAATATTACGTTAAACGGATAAAATATTAACAATTTACTGACGACTAGGCGGCACTGTTTTTGTTTATAGAGCGTTCGACGGACGTTTTTTTTTTCGGATTTTCTGACTCTCGGTAATGCGCGAGAAAATGAAAACGGAAAAAAAAAATGTGAGAAAAAAAACTGAAAAAAAAACCCAAAAAAAAAACACGGACGACAAACGCACACGGAACGACCGTGTACGATTGACCGGTGCGTATGACTATATGAAGGTGGCGCGCGGTGTCGTCTCGTTCACTCGGCTGTCGCCGCCGCCGCTGCCGACGCTGCACCGACGGGATGGTGACGGGTCGGCGGGGAACCGGAGGGGCAGCGCACAGGTACTGGTGGGGCCGTCCGAGGGGGCATGACGGGCGGCGGCACCAATCGGAACACGCCCAGCACGCGTATGCGCGGCCGTCTTGTGCGAGCTGAGCGCTGTTCGCGGGAATTTCCGTTTGAGTCGACGGCGGCGATTTTCCGCTCTCCACCGACTTTTCCTCAAGCCCTGTGTGTGCGTAGACGTCAAGTCGTGTGCGTGGGTGCGCGACGGATTTGCAAAACTTCAACCTGCCCCCGCCTATCCGACTCGCAGGCGTATAGAGCTTTTTTATAAGGATTTTTATTCCTTTTTTTAAGGACACGCCTTATTCTCGAAATCCGACTTCCGTTTGGCTGCACGGCTTTTTAACGTTTTCTCCTTTACGCACACCCTGCATTTATTATATTTTTATGTATATAGTATGTATGCACAGTGCTCGTCTATTAATATTTCCCGGTTTTTGACGAAAAAAAAATCATTCGATATTATATATATTGTACATTTTATCGCATAGGTTTTTTACTTAAACCTACACCGTTGTATGCATCCACATAATCGTTTTTCGCGTCTCTCAGTACAAACTGCAAAGTGTATTTCGACACATTAATTTACAATTTGCGGTATCGCAGTTTTTAGATTTTACTCATTCGCCGTATTTTTACATTTGTATGTCAAATATTACATATTAATATTCGAAACAAACATGAAAATATAAAAACTTTTATCATCGAAATGTAATTATCTGAATTTAAAAACGAGCAGTAAAATTATATTGTTAATGATCTAAGTATTCATTTACATATAATGTATAACTTGTATACAAGTGTATACTTAAGTATTGTTTTTTAGTTACGATTTCAATTAAAACTAAAAGCTTATATTTTAATGTTTTGAAATAAGTAAAGTAAGACAAATATATTTATTTAGCATTTTAAGAAGCCAAACGTTTTTGTTTTTAAGTTTGAATAAAAATATCAACACAGATTTATCTATGTACGTATAATACACTTCATATTGTTTTTCCTTTTTTAAACATTATACTTAGAATAATAAGATAAAATACAATTTACATAGGTATCTGTAGTTGTATCGAAAAACTTGTACGAATATTCGTCTCTATGCGGTTTAATGTAATAAAAAAAAAAAAATAACAACACGTAAACCCGTACAAAATAATTTATTTAATTTGATACACATATTTACACATATACACATATTTCAAAGTTAAATAATGTATATTTCAGTGAGATAATCGGTTTAATAACAGGACTGTATACATTAAAAACAATCGAAAATTGATTGAATAAGATCGGCAAAAATGTGGTGGTTGGCTTTAGAAACTATTATATTAAAAACAAATGGTTTGAAATCCTTTTCGCAGAATCCCCAAAGCACAGCCCGGAAAATCGTTCTAAAACTCCGGTGCGGCGGCGTTGTCGTCTTTTCATTGCGCACACACACACACACAAGACGCACGTGTTATACTATCGTATATTACACGGATGGTAGTAGCCGTGTACAAACACACGTAATAACGTACGCGCGCACACATACATGAAGACAATTCGGTAAACGATCGTCGAGTACATGTGCGCAACTTGGGTAAAAGTTTCGGGACTTATATATACTTCGATCTATGTTATATGTCGAACCCGCGAGTGTGAGACAGCTACTAAAACACGTACATATCATATATGTATGTACACCAAGGACGTAGGTAAAAATTATTTGAAATGGGGAGGGTGTTAGATATATATTTAGATAATATTTTTTTTTAATATTACCCAGTTATTACTAGCTGGAATTTTGGCAATGGATGAGGGCGTTGAACCCTCACCCCCCCCTTACAGATTATATGTAGGGTACATAAACACCATCTATTTGTGTGATATTGTCGCTTAACTCTTCAATTATCACTGCAATAGAGTTTTATGGCACTCGGTATATCACAAAACGACTACTGTGTTAATATGAACTTTTTACATAGAGTTAGTAATATTTCTTGCTGCGAACGGACTTTGAACGTACCATGAGAATTTCTTTTTCGTCCGCGAAGAGTTGCTATGGTTTTGCAAATACGAAGGTTTTATTTTCGATGCATATGTAAGCTCATTATCAGGCTTAGCTTTTTGTGATAATACTTACGTAATGGGTAGATTTTACGGGAAGCATTATGTCTTATTCGGTGATTAATCCAACAGCGGAATCCGAAAGACTTCGACAACCCCTTTCCTAAACAACACTAATTAATATTTAATAATCATATATGATTACTTATCTCTATAGAGAGTTATAAATTCTATAATATAACGCTAATTTACTTTAAACTTATGACTTCTTTTTTATAGACATTTAGTAGTGTGAATATCAATGTAATAACTGATTAGTAAATGCATATATAACTTATAACACTTGTGTGTAAGATGTAAGAATAATTTGTTTTTATGTAATTGCAGTGTAATCGTTTTCACGATATTGCAATAGCGCGTAATGTTTATAATTGAGATTTTTCGTATAGTATGACTCTGTCGTGGGCACGTCCTTAATTTCATTAAAAAAAAAAATCTACTAAGAGAAAGTACTTGTACACAAGAACATTTGGTTCGACGTGTACACATATAACGTGTAGATTCCAAACGACCGTTAAAGTAATTCCCACTTGCCACCCCAAGACATAGATGCTGGTGTGCTATGGCGTAGGGCGCATCACACAATTTACTTTTTATCATTAGTATTGTTGTTCTGCGCGACTTCTTGGCCTGTAGACCACTTAGTCATTGATCGACTGCGTTTCAAAAACTACCAAACGTATGAACTTGAAATTTTATTTAATATACAGCTCTAATAGTTTAGATATCTGATCAGTGGGGATTTTTCGTAGATCGTATTTTTAATAATCAAAACATTTTTGAACTGGATGTGTTCATTTTTTAACTTTTTGGCTTCACTTAGGAAATATGTTTTTATGTCTTATATTTTGATATAAAGAATTGCTGATTGAGGTTTATGTAAATTAATATAGAATAAATAAATAAGTGTAAATAGCATTAGATTATGCGACGGTTGTGCACTTTTTCAACCTACAATATGTAAAGCTACGACTAGTAATAATTGCGCAAATATATAATAGTAGAATATCACCTAGACGAGGCCGCGTTATTTAGTTAGAACCAAATATTACATATATTACTTACAATACTAAATTAATAAGCCGTTCCGCTGGCCAATGTGGCGTTTCCGTTTCACCGCCAAATCACCCTTGCAATGCTTCACCCCCACCATAATTGGCGCGCTCGAGGCGATTGCATATATTTAATGACGGATCCAGTGACTTGGTTCGAGGGGGGAGGGGCTAAGTTATAATTTTTACAAAATTTAATAACAAATATAAAACAACAATTTTTATAACACAAATTCCAGTTTTCTATTTTTTGAATTTACAAACACATCTATAATATCATCTATTTGACCTAAAACATTCACTTTATTATGCACATTAATTAGACATAATGCAGAGAGTCTATCTTTGGTCATCCTTGATTAAAACCAAGTTTTAACTTTCCTAAGTGCGGAGAAACTTCTTTCGGCAGAGGCTAAAATAATATTATACTCGTATTATATTATAGAGTGTAGACTAGACGTGTACTGTGTAAGCCACTGGACGGTGCGTTAATGCGTTATTTAATAGCCAATAGTCGATGGAACGCACAACGGCCTAACAACATTATTATTTATTTAAAGAATAATAACAATACAATTCTTATTGAGAGAGTATTCTTAGTATTTCCCTAGTTATTTAGTATTCCCATTTCCCGTAGTCCATACTCCGTACAGAAACAAATGTGTGTTACGCAAATACGCAATTAATGTTTTAAACATAATATAGATAGCTGGTACAAGTCATACCTCCAATTACATACTTTAACGTCTCTATAATAGTCAGTGCCGTAACTAGAGTGTCAAAGACCCATGTGCAGACAAATGTACTCTTTCTTGAGATACATAAAAAAGTCGGACTAATTTCATCCTATGGGGATTTTTTACTCCTTAGATCAGATAGTATTTGTGGATATATTGAATTTTAAAGAACCTATAGATAATTTTCTCGCTGAAACAATTCTGTGTAAAGCTTCATCTTAGTAGGTATACAAGATCACAATTGTATACTGGATAGATTTTATTCATAAAAAAAACTTGTAGAATAAACTATTATTTTCTTTACTATTCAAATTTAATTCTAAATGTAATTAAATAAAAATAGTTAGATACTTACTTGATTTACAAATAATTAATTATTTAAAGTACCTGACTTTTAAAAACATCAGATTTTATTAGTTAAGTAGATTTATTGTTGGAGGCTATTATTAAAAGTCGATATTATAATATATATATATTAAGTTTTTTTTTTGTTTTTGTGTTTGTAATTTTTTTTTAACAATATAACATTTTTAGAAATACAGGCTTGAGGCGTTAGGCCCCTAGGGCCCCCCTTGGAACTGCCCCTGCGTATATTGTCGTTATCGTATTTATTATTATCAATGATCGTCATTGATTTCATAGCACAGAAAATTCCGTTTCGTCCACGCGTTCTGAAGCAGCAACAGCGAGCCACAGTTGGCACGAGCAACGATGACAGTACCTATATATACTTCAGCGCGCGCACATAGTATAATAATATAATATGTAACAATAATAACATTAAACCGTCGGCTCGCGCAGCCCTTCATCAGGGTCGTCATTGTGTTACGCACGGGGGTCGTACGGCGTTCTAATTGAGCGGACCTTACACTACCGCTCGTACACTTTCACAAAATATAATATATATATACACATAAGAGTGTACGGTTTACGCATGTGTATAACGTATAGGATCTCGAAGCCTAATACATACATGTGTGTACAATGGTCATTTCCCGAG